GCCCCGTCCCGGTGCCCGGCACAGGGGTCGCCCCCGAGCTCGGCCCAAGCGGCGCCTTTGCCGCTTCCCTCCGCTCCGCGGGCCCGGCCGCGTGGCCGGGGGGCGTCGCGCGTGGCCCTGGCCCGGGGCGGAGGGAGCCGCGCGGGAGCACTCCCGAGGGAAGCGACCCTGGAGCGGGGGGACGGGGCAGGGGACGGGGCAGGCTGGGCGGGAGGCGGCGGCGGCTGCTGGCGAAAACAGCCCCTGCCCGCGGGGAGCGCCGTGGGGCTGCGGGAGCGCCGTGGGGCTGCGGGAGCGCCCAGCACTGCCGGGGTGCGAAAGGAGCCCCCCGGGCGCTGGGGAACCCCGGGGCCCTTGTGGCGGCCGCCCTGCCGCCCGAACGGCCTCGCTGCCCAACGTGCAGGGTGGCAGTTGGGCCCCGCCGCGGCGTAAATAGCCCCAGCRGCGCAAATGTCAAGCGCGAGCGATGGAATCGCCCCGTTCTCGTGCTCTCCGGCTGTACGTTGGGAGGTGCTGGAAATAGCACCGTCCATATGGGCTGCCGTGAGCTTGCCGGGCTATTTTAAGCACTGCTGAACCTTGTGGCTGGCGCTTTTGGGGAGCCAGAGGACAGAGGCGGCCGCGCACGGTAGGGACCTGCTCCCYGGCGTGACTGAAACGGGGCTGGAGGCTGGTGGTGGTGGCCGAGCAGCCCCCGGGGTGACGGGGACGCAGCCCTGGCTGCTCCTGCTCCGGTCCCCTCCGCTGGGAATCACCGCGTCCTCTGCAGCAGCGCTCTTTGTAGAAGCGTCCCAAGTTTCTTTGGCCTCAGGCACAGGGGAGCAAGCCAGCCCAGCAAACCCAGGCGCAAAGGGGTGAGCTCCAGAGCGGGTGTTGCCTTCGAGGCTTCCTCTCAGTCTGCAGTACTCAAAGCCTCCTATTTTCGGGGCTTTTTTTTGGGAGGTAGTTGATTGAAAATAGAGCATTAAAGCAAATAGAAYAGCTAAAAAGAGATCTCGAGAGGAGGGGGAAAAAAAACTTTCATTTTTTCTTTTTTTTATTATCTATGCCGCTCTGCTCCAGTGCCTCAACAGGTTTAGACAATATTCTCGTGGGAAATCTCTGGATGAGTTTTCTGCTGGGTTTCGGGTGTCTGCGTGCTGTACAGGTGAGGTGCGAGCTGGGCTGGGGGCAGGAGGGCTGTTCTGGGCACTATCCACGGCTTTGGGACATATTTATGTCCTCTAAATCCTGTAGATTCATATTGCCTCTCATATTCCTGAAATGGATTTTATCTCATGTGGGGATGTCGGGTGGGAAGTAAATATTTTTCCCCACCAAAAAACCCCTCATGCTCGTGGGTATTGTGGGGAAATTTATAAAAGGAGGAGGGCAGAGTCTTGGTGGGAAGGGGACCACGGCGTTGGGGAGGAGGAGAACCTGGGCATGACTGAGAAGGGAAGGACAAGTGTCCTGGTCGCTCGGAAAGGCCGAGGACACCRTGACGCTTTCAGCATAGGGTTGTGACCCCTACAGAAGTGGCAAGTGGAGCCCAGCTGGGGGTGTTTATAAAGCTGCTAGCAGTGGAAATGCAGTCCCTAGAGCAGAGCACCAGGTTTGRGGGAAAAAGGAGAGAGGAAAAAAAAGAATGTCCTGGCAGTTGGCTTAACCTAGTGTCTTGTTCTGTAGTGTATGAGCCTGTAAAGATCACTTTGTATGTCTGACTTCTGATTTTTTTTACTTATTAAGCAAATGAGTTTTGAGGTGTAGCCTGGGTCTGTGGAATCGCAGTAAAAAAAGAGTTTCATGATGCCYATCTTTATAATAAACAGTAAGATTAGATTTGAGTTGTAATCTCTAACCTAAAGAACATGATCATCCCCACCAGCGTCTTGGGTATCTATAAAACTGTTTTGCAAACAGTGTTTTGACATTGTTGCTACAGCAGGAGTTTCCTGCAGCGTGACAAACRGGAGTTGAAGTCTCAGTTGACCAGATTAACTTTGTTGGATTGTATAGCCTTAATTTCCTGCTTTCAGGTGACTAATCTTAATTATGACACTGTTCAGGCAGGGAAGCCAACTCTTGAAGGCAGCAGTGTGTGTGTGTRTATATATRTRTRTRTATATATATATATATATAAGCGAAATGAAGATCATCCTGATCTGGTAATAACAAATATCAGCTCATACCAATAACAAATACCATATGTTGGGCAAACCTCCCCGAAGGAACTCCCTGAGGTGAAGGAGAGCTGCCCAACTGCGCCTGTGTGCCCCTGTGTCCCTGCAGGAACTAAGTATAAGGCACGGCAAGGACATGTAATTCACACTCCTAACTTTCCAGGATCGGGCTCTGTCCTAAGGGTGCTGAGAGTATTGACAGCTAGTAAGTCCACTTAAGCTACTTGAAATGTCTGTAACAAAATCACTTAACACAGAAGGGATATTGTGGGAAAGTTGTTTCATTTGGGGCTTGTTTGTTTTGTTTGCTTTAACTTTGCAGAGTCTTTTTGGGGCCGCAGCCACCCAGCCCACGGGCTGTGGTCCCGCTTGGTGGGAGGGCTGGGGAAACACAGCGGCTCCGGGGTGGTCACGCGGGCTCCACAGGCACTACCTCCTTTCTGGCTACCTCAGAAACTTCAGAAAGAAGGAAGCCTTGCAAAAACTTGCCACTTTCCAGACTTGAGAAAGCATGTGGGGAAGTGTATTAACTAAGCTGGCACCAGTGCTCAAACCAGTGACAGCAAGTAGTCCTAGCTTGTCTCACGAGACCTTCCTTGTGCTGCATTCCTCCATGGAGAACAAGCCTTTCTGTGGTGAACACTTAGATGAGTGAGGCTGTAGCAATGTGCCTGGGTAGCCAGCGCAGCGAGAAGGGCTGCGAGGCGCCACCTCAATAGGCGTCTTTGTTCTGGRGCCAGGTGACATCTGCGCCGCGCCATGGTGGCCCGAGGAGCGTGAGGCTGTGGCGCTGGGGACCCTGAAGGGCAGCGGGCGCGCGGGGAGGAATGCTCCGGTGGGCCGTGCACCTGGAAGGCGGGCCCCGGAGGGTGAACCACGCCGCCGTGGCCGTCGGGCACAAGGTCTATTCCTTCGGCGGCTACTGCTCTGGAGAAGACTATGAGACCCTGCGGCAGATCGATGTCCACGTTTTTAATGCAGGTGAGGGTGCGGCCTCCTCTTGGTGTGTGCGGGAATGGCTCTCTGGGCTCCTACTGAGCAGGGAGCTGGCACGCTCTGTCATCTGTCTGATTGACTTCCAAAAGGTTTTTCCGTGTCAATCGGAGTCTCTTCCCTTGAGCAGCACTGTCTTTTTGTAGTCCTGCACTGGGCCATCTCCGGTAGCTCCATGGTGCTGTAGCACAGGGGAGCCCAGCRTTGGCCTCSACACTGCAGAYGTGGCCTCAGCAGCACTGGGCAGAGGGGCAGGATCAAGGGAGATCCCTTGACCTGCTGGCAACGCCCTTCCTAATGCCTCCCAGGACACTGCTGCCCCTCCTGACCACAGGGTCGCACTGCTGGCTCTAATGTGGAAGTGGCAGTACACCAGGTTTAAGTCTTCAGGCTTAAATTTCTAAGCCATTTCACTGTGGTGATGTCTAGCAGCTGCTGCTGGCATCGTGGAAGTGGCAGGATGTTGGCTGCCTGCTTTCCATATCTAGCCACTAGTTGCTATGAAGATTGAGTGGCACAGCGAGGCCGCTGGAGCTAGAGTTATTCTTTTAAGGTAACCAGTGTGTTGGGAACGAGCTGGAGTCATCTGTCTGTGGGACATTTCCCTGTAATTAGGCAAGTGGCTGAAAAACTACACAGGTGCTTGGATGGGGACAGCTGAGCAGGTGAGAAGACGAGCTTGAGGAGGGTCAGAAGCAGAGAACGAACACCTAGCTCTTTGCCAGAGTGGGCAGCGTGCCTAAACAGAGCACTCTGTTAGTGGAGGAACTAACAGCCTCTGGGGAAAGCAGAATGACGGTGCCCGGAGGAATGAATGCTCCTGCATCTCCCTCCCTTCTCCCGCTCCCAAACATGAAAGGGTCATGATGCTGCAGCCACTGCTTGGGAGGGGTGGGTTTCCCATCACTCTGGCTTGCCCAGCGCTGTCAGGACTAGGCTCAACACGGCATCTTCAATGATCCGAAGAGCAGGACTGTGTTATGTGTTATAGGTAGGGAATACACTCTCAAGCTCCACCGTAGCATGGCTGTGCTTCCTTGATATCCTTCCTGCCATTGTGAGTTAAGCACCTGTCTTTTAAAATGACTGATCTTTTCGCTTTTGCTGTATGGGTATTTTGGGGGAGCTGCAGCCTGCCTGTGTCCAATTGCATTTTGTTGTCCAGGTCATCTCCTGGTGGAAAACAAACCTGGAAGCAGGATGCGTGGCCAAAGGATTGTATCTACAGGTGTTATGTAATGACTGTGCAATAGTTTTCATGACTCTTGTACTGTCATTAAACCCTGTAATACATGTTGACTACTCGGGCTACTACTGAAAATGACACGCAGGCAACGCGGAAGTAGAACCTGTAATCACAAAAAACGCCTATTAGCAACACCAGATTAGCAGGGAGATGTCTGTAGCAGAGCAGGTGCGGGTGAGGGCAAGGGTCTAAGGTCTGTGTCACAGGCTGACATCTGACATGGGCTTGAACTCCCTCTTCCAGTGTCTCTGCGCTGGATCAAGCTGCCTCCGGTGTGGACAAACAGCCGAGACCACGTGAGAGAGGTGCCCTACATGAGGTATGGGCACTCRGCAGTGCTCATAGATGACACCATCTACATATGGGGCGGTCGCAACGACACTGAAGGAGCCTGCAATGTCCTCTATGCCTTTGATGTCAGTAAGTTCCAACTTGTTGCCCTTCCTTGTCCTGACTGCTCTTAGTGAGACCCTCTCTGCTCCGTTGCACTGCTCTGCAGCTCTCTGTCCTGTTGCTTGGGGTCCCTGCAAAGTGCTAGTGTGGGGCAAATGGGCAGGGGAGGAAAGGGTATGTTCTGAAGAACATGAGGCATGTTGTGTCCAGCTGGTTCAGCAGGTTTGAGAGAGGAGCGGGTGGTCTGTGTGCCTGGACACTTGGCTCTGTAAAAACATTGGATTAAAATGACTAATTTTTTTTTTTTTTATTGGCTTTGCGTGCTCTTGCTAATACTAACTACAACTGAAGCTCCCCCTCTCAGGGATATGCCCTTCCTTAACTGTGGCTGAAGGCTGCAGCATGAAGGGGATGGAGCTCTTGAGCACCATAGGTCTTTTCTGGGGTGGCTCTTCTCTCTGTAAGAACGAAGCAGAGGAATAAAATACAGAAGCAGTCAGGGACAGGATGAAAGAACAAAGGCAAGCATGAGGCAACTTGGATGAATCTGAGAGAGACTCCTTGAGCCTTTCTGTTGACTTCTTTGTTGAAGTGTTGGAACATCTGGGGAGAACTGCATGGACAAGGGTGTTGGGAAAGGGGGAGGAAGGGTCATGTCTGCATTCTGGAGACAAGTCCAACCTAAACACTGGCCAGGAACCTAGCCTTGCTAGGCCTACAGTAGAAGTGCTTGGTCTAGTGCTTGGCCGCTGGTTTGTTTCCATGTGAGGGAAGATTTCACTGCTTGGGGCAGCTCTCTGGGAAATTTCTTTCTCCTTGTGTGACATAGGGAGCTGGGAAGCCACCAGTAAMCCCCTGTGTGCACAAAGGGAGTGCAGCGGGAGCTGCCTGATGTCCCTGCCAAATCAAGCACTTTAGCATTGAGTGAAAATTAACTGAAAAGCCAGGCTTCGGTCCTGGTCCAAACCCCGTGCAGCTGTCTGTACACGCTGTCCCTGTCTCCTGCCAGTCCTAGAAAGGGAGCCTGGCAGTTTTCCACCTGCCATGGAAGCCCCATTGTACGGGTTTCATCAGGATCAAGGCCTGGCTGTAAAGTCCTGGCTGAGGGCAGCTCTCCCCTCTGAGGACAGAGGTGCTGATCACTCGCTGGGGTCTCTTCCATCCCCAATTTGACACGCTGCACTTGGCCGTGCTCTTGCTGCTGCCGTGTGACAGGGCTTAGAAGAGCCCTGTGAAGGCTGGGACCAGAGCAGCCGTCTCAGCTTTCTTGCTCGCAGGTTGTGCAGGGAGTTCAGTGACCTCGCAAGCCCCTTTGTACAGTTCCAGCTGGGGCTTAGGTGCAGACCTGTGGCCAAAGGCCAATTCAGAGAAGTTATCCCTCTCCCAGAGAATGTTTCTTTGGCTCTGAATTTGCCACTTCCTGAAATAAACACTGCTCTTGGCTGTGTCTGTGGAGGGTGGAGGGGCAGGGGTATCTCCTGCTGTGTCTGTGCCTCTCTGTGGGCTTCTGGGACAGGTGCCTGCCTTTGCTTGGCAGAGAGCTGCTGGCTCCATTCCACGTTGCCCTGCGTGGAGACCAGCGCTGGCTGGATTTAACGTCCTCCCTTAACTCAAACCAGTCAGTGGAACACACAGGGTTAGGGGATAGATCTGGCCAGCGTAGCCTCCTGAGGGAGCAGCGTCTGAGGAGCAGACAGGTGGGACCACTGAAGGGTGGAGAGCAGGGAAGGCCCCTCTCGAAGMGGGGGTAAAAGCAGGAGCAGATAACATAGGGTGAGCTGAACTGTAGCGGTGAGGATGTAGCTCTGTGGGCATGAGTGGCCAACTGACCCCAGGCTGGGTTTTTGAGCACTGTTTTTCTCCGTCACTGAGCTAGAGCATCTCCAGGCTGTGAGGTCGCTTGGGCCACCTGGCATCGTCCCTTCGTTGTAAGTGAAACTGTAAAGGCAGAGCTGTTAAGTGCCTCCCTAGTCAGCTTTGCAAGAGATTTGATACCAATAACATTGCTCAAGCAGCGCTGCGCTTGGAGTGAGGTTATCATGGGGTTTGGCAGGGTCGGCAGGCTTGCCCTGGGACCAAGGTGCTCTGAGGAGGCTCGGGAGCTGGCCCTGCTGCAAGAAGCTTGCCCCCTCTCTGCCCTGAGAAGCATCTGTGCCCTGCACGAAGGAGCTGTCTCCAAAACAGCATTTTCCTTGCCCATGAAGAGTGGTAGTGAAGAGCTACCCCCATCTTCATGGCTAACGTGTTTTCTTGGCATCGCCTCCTGTTTGCTTTTAGACACGCACAAATGGTTCACACCGAAGGTGACTGGGATGGTGCCAGGAGCCAGGGATGGACACTCGGCCTGTGTCCTGGCCAAGAGCATGTTTATCTTTGGAGGCTACGAGCAGCTGGTGAGTGGTCTCTGCCACAGTTATTTGTGAATCCCTGGAAGGGAGAAGGTGTTCCTATCTTGGCCACGAGTAGAGGCCAAGTRAAAGGATATGTTTGCATGTAGAGTTGCATTCGTTTCATAACTCAGTGAAGCTGTGGCATAAATTATCCAGTTAAGTTCCTGATTTTGTGAAGAGGGTGGTTGAGAAAATAGATCTATGAAGGCTGGAGTTGTTAGTGGTACTTGTTTTTTTGTTTGTTTTGGGTTCTTTTTTTTTGCTTTTTTTTGGCTTTTTAATTTTTTTGTTTGTTTGTTCTCTCTCTCTCTCTCTGTATCTGCTAGAGAGATTCTGGGGTTCGAAGTAACCGTACATTGTTCTAGACTTCTGTATTTTCTGACTCAATTCTCAGCCAAATTGAAATAAAAATAGATGCTTATGTATTTTACACTTATATTTTATGTCAATATATAATATATTGCTATATCTGTATTTATTTTAATTTGGCTGAAAAATGAGCCAGAAAAAAAATCTCTTTGCAACGTCCGCAGTGTTGCTGTGCGGTTTGGTGCAAATCTAGTGCAGGTTTTCTGTGTTTTGTACCTGTTCTCCCACCTTGCTGAGCTATTCAGGACACCTTTACTTGTCCTCCCACTAAGAGTCCTTGGAGCTGAAGGGTTCCGATGGTTTGTGCCGGATGCCCTTAGCACTCCTTGGAGCAAATCCTGGTGCTCTGTTCTTTGCCAGTGGCTGAACATAACTTCAGATTATCACCCGGCTCCACAAAGCTGGGCAGTCTCTGCCTGTCTGCAGGGAAGCTGGGGCTCTGCTCTTGCAGACTCCGTGCCATTCCCCTTCTTCCAGAAAGTGTAGCAGTGCCAGAGCCATAAGCTTGACTTCAACTTTTTTGATTTTTCGATGTTTTAGTTTTTGAATTTTTTTAAGTTTTTTTTTTTTAATTTTGGATTTTTTTTAGCTTTTTTTTAGTTTTTTGGGGGGCTTTTTTTTTTTTTTTTTTTTAGTTTTGGAGTTTTTTAAGTTTTGGGGGTTTCTAGGTGTGTGGGGTTTTTTGTTTGTTTGTTTTTGGTTTTTTAGTTTTCTACGAAGGCCAAACAAGCCTGTAGCTATCTTGGTGTTGTCTCATCTGCCTGGAGCCTGTACAGTCTGCATGAACGGAGGCTCAGGCCTTTTCACACTAGTGGCACATGGGTTTTGTGGGATCCTTGGAGCCCCRAGAGCATTTGCTCGTGGCTATTTGGCTTCCTAGAAATAATCCCAGCTCCCTTTGACCTCTTATCATGTGGCCTTAGCAAAGTCAGTGGGGACTGTCCAGCTGCAGAGCTCCCTTCTTCTGTCACTGCAGGGAAGGGGACAGGTACTGCTGGGAATACACATTGCATGTAGTCCTTGGCCTTGATGATAGCAAGTGAGTATCGAAGAAATTGGAATGTTCAAGAGAGATGGGAGAGCTTTGAGGAGAAATGAACTTCATCTCCCTCTTGCGAGGTGATGATTATGCTGCTTATCCTGATGTTTTGGAGTTAGCAGCCTATCGTTGTGGAAGTGCTGGCTCCGAAGGGATGTCCAGGTTCCTAGGAGAGCGTCCTTTCCAGAGGCCAGGGTGACCAGGCYGCCTGAGGCCCTTGGTGACCAGGCCACACTGCTGTTCTTCCAGGCCGACTGCTTTTCTAACGACATCCATAAATTGGACACCACGAGCATGATGTGGACCTTAATCTCTGCCAAGGTCAGTGTCTTTTTCCCCTCCCGTTTGTGGGGACAGCCTTGTCTCTGCCTCCCTCTGGGGGGGCTGCCCACCACTGTCTCACAGGTTGTCTCATGCGCCTGCAATCTTCAGGAGAAGTTCTCCAAGATCAGGCAGCCRCCTTCCCCATTGAGATACCTCATTTCGCTGGGCAGTCTGCCCGCTTTCTCTCACGCTGTTTGGCCCTGTTCTCGCAGGGCACACCAGCTCGTTGGAGAGACTTCCATTCGGCCACTATCATCGGAACAAAGATGTACGTGTTTGGTGGCAGGGCAGATCGGTTTGGGCCGTTTCATTCCAACAATGAGATCTACTGCAACCGGATTAAAGTGTTTGACACAGAAACAAACTCCTGGCTTGACTCCCCACCAACTCCAGTGCTCCCCGAAGGCCGGCGGAGTCATTCGGCCTGTGAGTATGGAGTTAGTGAGGAAGGGAGACACACTGACTGTGGGAACRGGGCTCAGCTGCTCTCTGCACTGGGTGTCACGCTGATGTCTGTGCTTGCCCCGACAGTCAGCTACAATGGGGAGCTCTACGTGTTTGGTGGCTACAATGCACGCCTGAACAGACACTTCCATGACCTTTGGAAATTCAATCCAGGTACCTGAATATTTTTAAGCGTTGGGCCTAGGGGATCCCAGAGGCTGTAGTTGTAGAAACCACTCAATTGGAGCTGGCAGCATCCCAACACCACGCYGTCCTGGTACCAGTAGATAGAACAGTGCAGCAGAAGTGGTGGTTCTTGATGTCCTGAATATCAGTGAGGTGTCTGAGGTCCCCYGCTTACTCAGGTACTTTGGGCAATCCATGAAAATGGTTTAACTGCTTTGTACAATGAAATCTTGTGTTACACTGTTATCCAAGAGCAGCTGATTTGCTCTTTCTCCCAGCTTATCTGTGACTGACTCCTGGAGACTGCAGTGCTGCACAGCAGAGCTTAATTTCCCCTCAGTGCCCATGCCGTGGAGAGTGGCAAACCTTGATATCTTCTCCACCTTGTTTAACTGCCCATACTCTCCCCAAGGCCAGGGRTGCTTTGCATTTTCTGCAGCTACCAATAGATGGGTCGGGCTCCCTGCAGAGCTGAGCCATGTCTGTGTGTGGAGCTTCACTGCGCACAGGTCCCGGGCCCGCTGCTGGGCGCTATAGGTGAAAAGCCTTGTTGTGCTGCAGCTGAGGAAGGGCAGAACTTGCTGCTGCAGCTCAGAGGGCTGCACCTGGTGTGACATCTTGGGAGCAAAATTGTGCTGTGCCACCTCTGCAGCAAAAAGAGGCAGCAGACACGTTGACTAGTTGGTAGCTGCAGGGCAGTAGGCTTCTTTTTTTTTCTTCCTTGTGCTTTGTTTAAATCCATAACCTGCCCATAGCAGGCTCTTATGAGAAGCTGCTCCATTTTTCCCCCCTCAGTTTCTTTTTCTTGGAGGAAGATTGAGCCCAAAGGGAAAGGCCCGTGTCCTCGACGCCGACAGTGCTGCTGCAGAGTGGGGGACAAAATCATTCTCTTTGGAGGCACCAGGTGAGTTTGTGTGAGCCCCCTGGGATGGCTCTCTACGAGGGTTTTCCACATGCTTCAGTTCAGTGTCTTTCTCCATGCGCTCGTGCTGTACTTGGCTTCATTTTAGGGCCATGTGGTAACTGTCTCTCCATCTTGCAAGTAGCCAGTAAACAATGACATAGAGCAGGATTTCTCTGGGGAGAGAGAAGAAAAAAAATCCATTAGCTTGTAAAGCAGCTGGTAACAAGCTGCCTTTTACAACACGCAGCAAGTCGGGGTAGAGGGGCAGAGGGTGTGAGATGCTGGTCAGGAGGGACTGTGCAGTGCAACGGCCAAGCTTTCAGTGAAGGAGGGCTGGAGGGACAGGGGTGACAGGTTCTGCTGTCAGAAGGACAATCTGCTCTGCTGCAGCAGCCTGATTTGCCTCCCCTGCCTGCTGTCTGGATGCCTCTCACCAGCATTTCTCTTCTTGTGTTGGCAAATGTGTCTGCCAAGCTACAGAGGGCAGTCAGCTCAGCTGGGAACGGTTTCAGGAGCCCTTCCGCGTACTAAGGCAGGGTTCCCTTCCAAGCAGCTTTCCTCAGCAAAGTTTCATTCGCAAAAGAGACTTGGTGTGAAGGATTTAGCTGTCAAACAGTGGGAGTGATACCGTCGTGATGCAGGACAGCTGCACGTTGCCAAGAACCTGAACATCTGCTAAAAGAAAGGAAGGGGCCCATCACCCGCATGTGCGCTCTGCTCTGTCTGGACTGACACATCACAGGYGTGGAGCACAGGTCTCTGCTGGCATCTGCCAGCTCATGTAAACATCTGAAAGGCTTTCGGACCTTCACGTGGCTTGTGTGGATGTGGGGGATAGTGTGCAGGGCATGGGTGAGGTACTCGGAGGTGCAGGGTTTATCCGCTCCCCTCAACAGTTATTGGGTGTTAATCTGCACAGCAGAAGGTTTGGTGAGGCTTGAAGGCAGCTCTCGACGCTGCGGTCTTTAGTAGTTGGTGCTGAATTTTGCTTAAGGCAGCAGCTGAGCCCTGGTATTAGGCACTCCTAAGAAATACCATCCAAAACRGCAAATTCAGGAGCAGCTTTCTGGAGTGTCATCTGTCTCTGCCAGACAACACAGAAGTGTTTACAGCATTTGCTGCCTCAAAACGCTTCAGGATTCAATGTGCCCTTTAATGTCCAGGCACAGGTCTGGCGTGTGGCAGTTGAGCAGTGGGGAGAGGAAGGGCTGGCTGCGGTGGGGGGAGCCTTGGGGCTGGGGAGGCCGCAGTGGGGGCTGTGCTCGCTTCCTGTAATGGTTATCAGGGGCGCTCGGGAGCTGCCTGGCGAGATAAGAAGTTTTCCAGGAAGTCGTTGAAATGGAGAACTCCCTCCGGAGTCAGCCTGGGGATTCGGTGGGATTGCTTGACGGATTAGCTGGCCGGCACGGCTCGCTAGGCAACTGCTCTGGGAGAAGGACAGGCAAAACCCTCTACTGTCCTGTTTTCCCTTCCAGAATCTGCCTCCGGGAAAGGCTGTTCAGAGGTGCTTCTGTAGGGCCCCTGCTGCTGGAGCACCCAACCGCTTGCTTGGTTTTACATTCTGCTTAAAGCCTCCTCTTGTTGCCCCATCTGTGGTCCCTCTAGGTGAGGGAGGCTGGCAGCAGTCTTGTCACTTATGTCCTAAGTGACCAGGAAATTGCCTAGTGCTGAGCTTGGGGCTCACATTAGCCCCCCTTTCTCTCTCTCCAAACCCCCCTGTACTTCAGTGTGCAGAGCTCCTTCCCGAGAGAAGAGGAGGAGTGTGGTAAAACAAAGCTTAGCTGAGCATGTGTTGATGCTGAGGTTTCGCATTGCCTGGCAATGCTTAGAAATGCCTGGTTCTGGGGAGGAGGCAGGGCTCCGTGCAGAGCCCCGGGTCCTTTACCAGCACTTTTGAGACGCTGCTGAGTTGGAGTGGGCAACTTTGCTGGGCTTGGGTTGGCAAAGACATTGTCAGCACCCTGCCGTGCTGGGAGCTGCAGCTCTCCTGGCCATGAGCTCCAGGCTTGGCTTGGTTCTTGCGGTTTGATGATAGCCCCGCAGATGTGGTTCCCTTTGGAAGATAAAGGGACTGGGACATGGATGTAAAAAGATGAGCTTGGGGCATGGTGGTTACCATGGCAGGACAGAAAGGGGCTTGCCTGTATTTGAACAAATCGGAGCCATCTGGAACAGGTCTCTTTTGCCCCCAGAGCTTTTCTTTCATGATGAGAACTGGGGAAGATGGCACCATCTCATGRCCTGGTGACATGTGAAGCTTGGGAAGCAAATGGCTCTCCACGACCGCGAGATACCTTCGCGGTGAGGCTGCCTCTCCTGGAGTGCCCACAGTACGGAGCGGCTCCCCGGAGCGACGTGGGCTGCGCTCGGGGCAGGGTCCCCTTCACTGCGGCGCTGCGCCGGGGACGTGGCACGGGCCTTGCGAGCCGTGCAGCAGAACCCCAGAGCAACCTCGCTGCTGCCATGGCTGCACATGCACAACTTGATGGTGAAACGGGATGTTCTCCTGGCCGCAGGCTGCCAACCTGCCACCTTCTGCTACGGAGCTGGTGTTAGGCACAGACAGAGGGAAAGGAGGCAGCTCCTTGGAAGCCCAGATCCACTGAAGCTGCAGAGCGAACTCTTCCCAGGAACAACCTGCTCACGCTGCAGCCCAGGGAAAGGGAGGGTATTTGTAGCACCCTCCTYGTGCCCCCAGAATGGGTCCTGGGGGCCTAGGGGAGGCTTCCGAGCTGCCCTGATGGTAGGGAGCAGATCAGGAGGTAGCTGAGGAAGGAGGAATGTGAAACAAGCCGGAGGGTGGCAGAGGCCTGGAGGGGATGCATGTTCCCTGCAGAGAGAAGGGCAGGAAAGCTGCCCCGAGCAGAGGGAGAAGCAGCTGGCGTCGGCGGTGGCCTGTGTGAGATGGAGGTGGCTTCCCGGCTCCTTGGGGCGGAGCAGGCGCATGTGCTCGGTGTTGGAGCGGGCGCACAGCCCTCGCTGTGCCCGTGGGGCTGCCGCGTGGGGCTGCCTTGGCTGCTGCTGCGGGGAGAAGGGCATCAGAGAGGCCCAGACAGGGACAGTCCTGGACTGTCAGCCCTCAGGATCCCCAGGGCATGCAATGGGGATACGGGTGTTTTGGCAGCGGCTGATGAGCTTTCCTTCTGCAGCCCATCTCCAGAGGAGGGAATGGGGGATGAGTTCGACCTCATGGATCACTCGGACCTCTACATCCTCGACTTCAGTACGTGAGCCCTGGCCGCGCGCGCGGCACGTCGCGCCGCGCTGGCGAGCGGCCCTGCGGGGCCGCGCTGCAGAGCCGGGCGCAGGGCCCGACGCGGCCGTCGCCGCTGCCTTCTTTCCGCAGGTCCCAGCCTAAAGACGCTGTGTAAGCTAGCGGTGATTCAGTACAGCCTGGACCAGTCCTGCCTTCCCCACGACATCAGGTACAGGGGGACGAGTGGCCCCTGGGTGCTCCCTGTCTTGGGAGCGCTGGGAGGGTGCCGGGGCACCGTGCTCCTGAGCATGGCCATTTGCCCTTGCCCTTAGTGCGTCCCCTYGATATCTTTCAGATGGGAGCTCACGGCCATGACCACAAACAGCACCATCAGCCGCCCCATAGTGTCCTCGCAGGGCTGAAGCTGCCTCGTGCCTCCGCCCTCCCCTCTCCCCTCATCTCTTGTTCCGCTGCCTGCATGAATTTCTACCCCTTGAAGCGAGAAACGTGCGTGAGCTCTGTTCGTGCCGCCCTCGACGGGCCTCCCTCTGCCCATGGTGCCGCTCCAGCACACGGAGGTTGGGGCAGAGCAGGCCCTTGGACAAGAGATCGGCGCACGCATGAACCCCATCGTTGGTGCTACCTCCAGGGCCTCTCATGTTGGTTCCCCTGGCCTGGCGAACTGTGGCTGTGCTGCCCTTGGGCCTGGCCCTGCTCCCAGGGCCTGAGCAGACTCCCAGCACCACCTGTAGCCCTGGGCTCAGGCTACGAACTGTTCCTGTGCGAGCGGGGCCTTCGCTGCCTGCCTGGACTGGCCTCGGGGCATCCACCCGAGCCCAGGCCCCGTGCCGCTGTGGGCGCTGCCTGGCTCCGTGTGTGACACTGCAGCTCTGCAGCGTTTTATAAACACTGCGCCCGTGCCTGGGTTTACACTGCACTGTGTGTCCTCGTGGGGAGCACTGCGGGGCTGGAGCAGTGGTGGGAGGCTGAGCCCAAGGGTCTCGTCCCATCATCCAGCCCAGGCCGTGCCGAGGTGGGAGAAGGGACAGCCTGGGGACATGCCAGGTCTGCCAGGCGCTCCTGCCTTCGGGGGGCGGGCACCGGGGCAGGGACCTGGTGCAGATGCCCCACATGTGCCTGTGGGGGGGGGTGGGGAGTCCCCAGGGGCAGCCCTGCAAGCAGAGCCAGCCCCGGCCAAGCTCCCCAAGCACAAGGGGTGGCTACCAGGACACTGAAGCCAGGAGGGCAGGCGAGAGAGGATGAGGTGGCTGCTGGGTGCACGTGGCCAAGGGCCTGGACCATAGACCCTGCTGRAAGACCAGGATCGAGGGGCATGGTGCCCATGGCAGAAAACAGCCCTGGCTTACCCAGGAGCAGGGTGCTGGGCAGCATGGGGCTGAGCACGGGCTCCCCGAGCTGCCCCGGCTCCAAGGTGGGTGCTCTGGTTCCGTATGCACGGCTGTACCCACTGTCTGGGGAGAAGGGGCAGCACCGAGCTGTGCTGGAGGGGATCGCGCGCATCTCACTCTCCTGCAAGAGCCCTAAGGGCTCAGGGGCACCAGGACCCTGCCATGGGCCTCTGCGCCCYGGCCAGGGGCCAGACGGACGCGTGCCCCACGGAAGGGGCCTTTGGTCATCGCCCCCCTCCTGAGTGGTCGGATTTGCTTTAAAGACCCCAGCTTCCTTTTATTGCTTCCCCTCTCAGATTGCAGCGGCTGCCAGGGTTATTTTTAGCAGCCTGCCTTCTAAAAATAGCCCCGAGCTGTTTGGAGTTGCGTCACCAGAGGTGACCGTCCTGCCGCTTGGCCCCTGCGCCCCGGCAGGCTACAAAAGGGAGCCACGGCGGCGGGGTCAGCAGGTTCAGCGGCAGCCGGAGGCGAGGGAGGAGCAGCAGCCTGGCCGCCTCCGCAGCACCCGCTCCATGACCATCTTCTGCAGCCACTGCCACCGGCCGCTGCTGGCAGAGCGCGGCTGCCTGCCCCACGGCGCCGGGCAGGGGCCGGGCGCCTTGAAGCCCTTCAGGTGAGTGTCCCTGTCTGTCCTAACGAGGCATCTGTCCTGGTGAGGCAGAGCCCCGGTGCTCCGCATGGTGCCGGGAGACTCTTGCAAGGGGCTATGGGCAGCTTAGGGCGCTGGGGAGGAGGCCGAGCACCTAGGAGAGGGCTGAGGAGGTGCAAGGGGCCGGGTGACAGTAGAGGCAAGTGCAACACATGGACTGTGCAGGTGGGGGCTTCCCTTCTCGCACCCCAGGAGGGCATCCTGCTTCTCTGGGCATGGCTCCCTTCACCGCTGGCTTTGCAGGTCCACCAAGGGTGCCTCCAAGGCTCGCCGGGACCAGATCAACGCRGAGCTGCAGGCGCTGCGCGCGCTGCTGCCCATGTCCTGCCAGGAGAAGGAGCGCCTCTCCTACCTCAACACCATGGCGCTCGTGTGCCTCCGCCTCCGCGCCGCTCGCCTCTTCCCCGCGGGTGAGCGGCGCCCACCCTGCGCGTCCGCCCCTGTCCGGCCGCACGCTTCCAACCGTACCCTTCCCTCAGAGCCGGCTCCTCCCGCGGGACCAGCCCTGGGCATGGACCTGCTCTCCCTGCTCCCGGGCTTCCTCCTCGTGCTCTTGGCTGATGGCAAGCTGGCCTACGTCTCCGAGAACGTGCGYGAGGTGCTGGGCCTCTCCACGGTAAGGTCCGGCCGCCCCTCGTGCCTTCGCCGTGAGCCCCCTGCGCTCGGCGGGTAGCAGGGTCTGTGCTCGCGGTGCGTGCGGGGTCTGTACCCACACGTGCTCTTCGGCAGGCTGAGCTCCTCTCCCATGGGGACACGGTCTTCGACATGGTGGAGGGGACAGCACGGGAGGTTGTGCGAGAAAAGCTGCTTCTCGCTCAGCAKCAGCCAGGAGCTGGTAAGGCTGAGGAGAGCAGAGCAGGCGGGGAGCTCTCCAGCTCCTTGGGGTTGTAGTCGGGGACCGGCCGGGCCCTCGCCGAGCCCCTGACTTGCTCTTATCCTTCCCGGCAGCAGTGACGTTCGTCAGCGAGATGCGCACGTCCAAGGCCCTGCGGCTGCAGCACGGCGGGGGCCGCGCCGTGGTCGTGCGCGGGCGCTTCATGGCTCCGCGCCCGCCCGCCGCCCCGGCGCCTCCCCCGGCCTTCGTGGCTCTGTGCACGCCCGTGGCGCAGCCGCCCGCGCGCAGCCACGCCGCTTCGCCCGACGAGCTCTT